TTTCCGCAATGGTTGAACTAGTTTACAGTCCCATCAATAGTGTAAAAGTGTTCCTATTTCTCCACATCCTCTCCAGCACCTGTTGTTTCCTGACTTTTTAATGGTTGCCATTCTAACTGGTGTGAGATGGTATCTCATCATGGTTTTGATTTGCATTTCTCTGATGGCAAGTGATGATGAGTATTTTTTCACGTATTTGTTGGCTGTATATGTGTCTTCTTTTGAGAAGTGTCTGTTCATATCCATTGCCCACTTTTTGATGGGGTTGTTTGTTTTTCTCTTGTAAATTTGTTTGAGTTCTTTGTAGGTTCTGGATATTAGCCCTTTGTCACATGAGTAGATTGCAAAAATTTTCTCCCATTCTGTAGGTTGCCTGTTCACTCTGATGGTAGTTTCTTTTGCTGTACAGAAGCTCTTTAGTTTAATTAGATCCCATTTGTCAATTTTGGCTTTTGTTGCCATTGCTTTTGGTGTTTTAGACATGAAGTCCTTGCCCATGCCTATGTCCTGAATGGTATTACCTAGGTTTTCTTCTAGGGTTTTTATGGTTTTATGTCTAACATTTAAGTCTCTAATCCATCTTGAATTAATTTCCGTTTAAGGAGTAAGGAAAGGATCCACTTTTAGCTTTCTACTTATGGCCAGCCAATTTTCCCAGCACCATTTATTAAATAGGGAATCCTTTCCTAATTTCTTGTTTTTGTCAGGTTTGTCTAAGACCAGATGGCTGTAGATGTGTGGTATTATTTCTGAGGGCTCTGTTCTGTTCCATTGGTCTAGATCTCTGTTTTGGTACCAGTACCATGCTGTTTTGGTTACTGTAGCCTTGTAGTATAGTTTGAAGTCAGGTAGCATGATGCCTCCAGCTTTGTTCTTTTGGCTTAGGATAGTCTTGGCAAGGCTCTTTTTTGGTGCCATATGAACTTTAAAGCAGTTTTTTCCAATTCTGTGAAGAAAGTCATTGGTAGCTTAATGGGGATGGCATTGAATCTATAAATTACCTTGGGCAGTATGGCCATTTTCACGATATTGATTCTTCCTGCCCATGAGCATGGTATGTTCTTCCATTTGTTTGTGTCCTCTTTTATTTCACTGAGCAGTGGTTTGTAGTTCTTCTTGAAGAGGTCCTTTACATCCCTTGTAAGTTGGATTCCTAGGTATTTTATTCTCTTTGAAGTTATTGTGAATAGGAGTTCATTCATGATTTGGCTCTCTGTTACTGGTGTATAAGAATGCTTGTGATTTCTGCACATTGATTTTGTATCCTGAGACTTTGCTGAAGTTGCTTATGAGCTTAAGGAGATTTTGGGCTGAGACAATGGGGTTTTCTAAATATACAATCATGTCACCTGCAGACAGGGACAATTTGACTTCTTCTTTTCCTAATTGAATACCCTTTATTTCCTTCTCTTGCCTGATTGCCCTGGCCAGAACTTCCAATACTATGTTGAATAGGAGTGGTGAGAGAGGGCATCCCTGTCTTGTGCCAGTTTTCAAAGGGAATGCTCCCAGTGTTTGCCCATTCAGTATGATATTGGTTGTGGGTTTGTCATAATAGCTCTTATTATTTTGAGATTTGTTCCATCAATACCGAATTTATTGAGAGTTTTTAGCATGAAGGGCTGTTGAATTTTGTCAAATGTCTTTTCTGCATCTATTGAGATAATCATGTGGTTTTTGACTTTGGTTCTGTTTATATGCTGGATTACGTTTATTAATTTGTGTATGTTGAACCAGCCTTGCGTCACAGGAATGAAGCCCACTTGATCATAGTGCATAAGCTTTTTGATATACTGCTGGATTTGGTTTGCCAGTATTTTTTGAGGATTTTTGCATTGATGTTCAACAGGGATATTGGTCTAAAATTCTCTTTTTTGTTGTATCTCTGCCAGGCTTTGGTATCAGGATGATGCTGGCCTCATAAAATGAGTTAGGGAGGATTCCCTCTTTTTCTATTGATTGGAATAGTTTCAGAAGGAATGGTATCAGCTCCTCCTTGTACCTCTGGTGGAATTTGGCTGTGAATCCATCTGGTTCTGGACTTTTTTTGGTTGGTCGGCTATTAATTATTGCCTCAATTTCAGAGCCTGCTATTGGTATATTCAGGGATTCGACTTCTTCCTGGTTTAGTCTTGGGAGAGTGTATGTGTCCAGGAATTTATCCATTTCTTCTAGGTTTTCTAGTTTATTTGTGGAGAGGTGTTTATAGTATTCTCTGACAGTAGATTGTATTTCTGTGGGGTCGGTGGTGATATCCCCTTTATCATTTTTTATTGTGTCTATTTGATTCTTCTCTCTTTTCCTCTTTATTAATCTTGCTAGCGGTCTATCAATTTTGTTGATCTTTTCAAAAAAGCCAGCTCCTGGATTCGTTGATTTTTTTCAAGGGTTTTTTTGTGTCTCTATCTCCTTCAGTTCTGCTCTGATCTTAGTTATTTCTTGCCTTCTGCTAGCTTTTGAATGTGTTTGCTCTTGCTTCTCTAGTTCTTTTAATTGTGATGTTAGGGTGTCAATTTTAGATCTTTCTTGCTTTCTCTTGTGGGCATTTAGTGCTATAAATTTCCCTCTACACACTGCTTTAAATGTGTCCCAGAGATTCTGGTATGTTGTACATTTGTTCTCATTGGTTCCAAAGAACATGTTTATTTCTGCAGCAGGTTGTTCAGTTTCCATGTAGTTGAGTGGTTTTGATTGAGTTTCTTAGTCCTGAGTTCTAGTTTGATTGCACTGTGGTCTGAGAGACAGTTTGTTATAATTTCTGTTCTTTTACATTTGCTGAGGAGTGCTTTATTTCCAACTATGTGGTCAATTTTGGAATAAGTGTGATGTGGTGCTGAGAAGAATGTATATTCTGTTGATTTGGGGTGGAGAGTTCTGTAGATGTCTATTAGGTCTGCTTGCTGCAGAGCTGAGTTCAATTCCTGGATATCCTTGTTAACTTTCTGTCTCGTTGATCTGTCTACTGTTGACAGTGGGGCGTTAAAGTCTCCCATTATTATTGTATGGGAGTCTAAGTCTCTTTGTAGGTCTCTAAGGACTTGCTTTATGAATCTGGGTGCTCCTGTATTGGGTGCATATATATTTAGGATAGTTAGCTCTTCTTGTTGAATTGATCCCTTTACCATTATGTAATGGCCTTCTTTGTCTCTTTGATCTTTGTTGGTTTAAAGTCTGTTTTATCAGAGACGAGGATTGCAACCCCTGCCTTTTTTTGTTTTCCATTTGCTTAGTAAATCTTCCTCCATCCCTTTATTTTGAGCCTATGTGTGTCTCTGCATGTGAGATGGGTCTCCTGAATACAGCACAGTGATGGGTCTTGACTCTTTTTCCAATTTGCCAGTCTGTGTTTTTTAATTGGAGCATTTAGCCCATTTACATTTAAGGTTAATATTGTTATGTGTGAACTTGATCCTGTCATTATGACATTGCTGGTTATTTTGCTCGTTAGTTGATGCAGTTTCTTCCTAGCATCGATGGTCTTTACATTTTGACATGGTTTTGCAATGGCTGGTACTGGTTGTTCCTTTCAGGTTTAGTACTTCCTTCAGGATCTCTTGTAAGGCAGGCCTGGTGGTGACAAAAATCTCTAAGCATTTGCTTATCTGTAAAGGATTTTATTTCTCCTTCACTTATTAAACTTAGTTTGACTGGATATGAAATTCTGGGTTGAAAATTCTTTTCTTTAAGAATGTTGAATATTGGCCCCCACTCTCTTCTGGCTTGTAGAATTTCTGCTGAGAGATCTGCTGTTAGTCTGATGGGCTTCCCTTTGTGGGTAACCCGGCCTTTCTCTCTGGCTGCCCTTAACATGTTTTCCTTCATTTCAACTTTGGTGAATCTGACAATGATGTGTCTTGTAGTTGCTCTTCTCGAGGAGTATCTTTGTGGCATTCTCTTTATTTCCTGAATTTGAATGTTGGCCTGCCCTACTAGGTTGGGGAAGTTCTCCTGGATGATATCCTGAAGAGTGTTTTCCAACTTGGTCCCATTTTCCCCCTCATTTTCAGGCACCCCAATCAGACGTAGATTTGGTCTTTTTACATAATCCCATACCTCCTGCAGGCTTTGTTCATTTCTTTTTCTTCTTTTTTCTTTTGGTTTCTCTTCTCGCTTCATTTCGTTCATTTGATCCTCAATCGCTGATACTCTTTCTTCCAGTTGATCGAGTCGGTTACTGAAGCTCTGCCGAGGTTTCTGCTGCTTTTTGTTTAGCTATGCCCTGTCCCCAGAAGTGGAATCTACAGAGGCAGGCAGGCCTCCTTGAGCTGCGGTGGGCTCCACCCAGTTTGAGTTTCCCGGTGGCTTTGTTTACCTACTTATGCCTCAGCAATGGCAGCCACCCCTCCCCCAGTCTCACTGCCGCCTTGCAATTAGATCTCAGACTCTTGTGCTAGCAATGAGGGAGGCTCTGTGGGCATGGGATATAATCTCCTGGTGTGCCATTTGCTAAGACCCTTGGTAAAGCACCATATTAGGGTGGGAGTTACCTGATTTTCCAGGTGTTGTGTGTCTCAGTTTCCCTTGGGTAGGAAAAGGAATTCCCTTCCCCCTTGGGCTTCCCAGGTGAGGCAATGCCTTGCCCTGCTTCAGCTCTCGCCAGTTGGGCTGCACCCACTGACCAGCACCAACTGTCCGACACACCCCAGTGAGATGAACTTGGTACCTCAGTTGAAAATGCAGAAATCACCCGTCTTCTGTGTTGCTCATGCTGGGAGCTGGAGGTTGGAGCTGTTCCTATTTGACCGTCTTGAATGCCCCTCTTCCAGCAAACTGATTTTTTTAATTTGTCATTGAAATTGGTTTAATCACAACCACTCATAGAACAGTAGCATGCATCGTGTGCCTATATGTAATGAAAATAGACTCAGAGAGATGGCAACATTTGCCCAGGTATCAGGTAGAATTAGAGGCAGAATTCAAACCCAGATTGGAACCCGAGGTTGTGACTCATCATCTCTAAAGTCACTGCCTTCAACAAAGGAGCTCTCTTCTCTTTGCAGGGTAACCCAGAGAAGAGAGCCAAAGTGGAATGTGGGGTCTACATTCTACAACACCAGGGACAGAGCAACTATGGATGAAGAGGGCTACATCTGGTTCCTGGGGAGGAGTCATGACACTATCAATGCCTCTGGGTAGGTGTGGCTGACGCCAGGCTGGCTGTTGTTGTCCTCACATGCCTTATGGGATCTTGCTTGCCCAGACAGTCTTTCATGCATTGGTAACAGGACCCTCAGCCCAATTTGAATACAGCCATGTCTACAGTGCCCTGATCCCAAGTTTTGGTGCACCTCCCTAACCCCTGCATACAGAAGACTCAATAAAAATGAAATTCAAGAGGGTCTTAAAGACATAATAAGACACTGTGCAATTTAGAGAAGGGGGAATGAGATTGAGAAGGGAGACTCTGTCTTGGTCCCCATAGGTTTGGGGAGCTTATTTCATGTTTGTGCTCCTCTAATACAGCACAAGATGTCACAGAACAAACATACTAATAATAATAACTAACCTTTAGCTATTGTTTATTTTTTATTATTATGAATATATTTATTATAAATCTATGAATACAATAAATCTATTAAGATAGATTATCATAAATCTATTATTATAATTATTTAGCTAACCTGGAGTACTATGTGAAAACACTGTTCTTAATTCTTTGTATAACTCACCTCTCAATGCTGGAAGGGAGATGCGATTATTACCCCTATTTTACTGATGAGGAAACTGGGTGACTGACCAGTGAAGAAATTTGCCTGAAGTCTCAAAGATAGCACAGGGTGCAATCCAGATATGAACTGAGGCAGGCTGGCTCTGAGCCTCTGTCCCTAACCCCTACATGATTTTTTAAAAGATACATTACACTACAGTAACAATTTCTCTTGGATATTTTAGAGAAATGGATGTGATTTTTTTTTAATTTCTAAAACATGATGTACTGGAAATTTGCAGAGAGTAGATTTTAAATGCTCTTACCACAAAAGAAAAAAAGAGGTAATTATGTGAGATAATGGATATACTGGTGCCTGAGTGTAGTAATCGTGTTACTATGTATATATACATCAAAACATCATGTTTTATGCCTTGAATATATATAATAAAAGCCAAAAATCATGCTGATACAATGGGAAATAGTGTGCAGAATTTGCACAAATGTTTAAGACCAAGTTTGAGGTTTCCAAGAGATTTTGTGTCTGGCGAAGCTGCATGGCCCAAGGGCCCAGGGAACTAAGCATTCGCCCTTCTTTGTTAATAAAGGCAGTGAGGCGAGAACCCCTGGGAGCACTGGAGTCTTTTATTTCTCAGCCTACAATGTCCAGGTCTTCAAATTTTGGGCTCATGGCACAGACAGATCAGGAGTCTCTGGCTCCCTATGACCTCTACCCTCTGTGCCAAAGGAAGCTGTGACTCTCCAAAGCAGGAGATTTGAGGACTTGGTTCACCCCAGCCCTGGTATCTGCCCCAGAACCCTTCATCCTCCTGGTACGGCCTTGGGCCTACAGAGGTGGAGCGTGCTTTGGTGGACCACCCAGCAGTGGCAGAGTCAGCCATGGTGAGCAGCCCAGACCCGATTCAAGGGGAAGTGAGGAGAACACAGAGACCATCGTGTCCGTACATGGACACTAGGAAAGCAGATGCCAGGGAAACTTCCAGGCTTTACCTGGGCCACCTTAGGGGAAGGAGGGCATAGTGTGCATGTGCACTTACACAGTATAGTGACCTGGGGATACTGCGGCCTCTCTGTGGCTCTGAAGATAAAGATGACAGATTATATTTAGTGAGCACTTACTACATGCCAAATAATTTAACTGTCACAAAATGTAATAATCTAAGAGCTCTTCTACTCTTTATAGATGAGGAAGGAGGAGCAGAAGGAAGTTAAGTAACCTGTCCACATCACACAGCTAGCAAGGGGTGGAGCCAGAATGGCATTTCAGCAACGTGGCTGAAGAACAAACATGCATTTGTTTATTAAAAAGTGTTTATTGAGCACCTTCTATTTGCAAGGCCTTGTGCAATAAAATGGGGATAACACTACTAATATATGAATAATAAATTGTCAAGCATTATCAAATGCCCATTGGGTTACAGGCACAGGATTGCATATATAATAATAGTAAAAATAATGATGAAAGTACTGATGACAGGGATAATAATGTAAACTACCTGGATGTTTTATGTGTATTATCTCATGGAAGCTTTAAAGAAACCAAATGAGGAATGGTATCTTTATTGTTCCCATTTCACAGAGAAGGAAACTGAGGTTAAGGAGAGGTCAGGTAACTTTTCAAGGCATGGAGTGGACATTGGAAGTACAGGCATTTGCACCTGGTCCTCTTCTTTTCCAAAACCACTGTAGGGTCCAATGTCACCTTGTTTTTCCACTTATTCAGTAAATACTGACTTTTTACACTATGTAATAGGTTGACACTCATCATGAGCCTCTGCCCTCATTCTGCAGGTAGTGAAGGCATTTATTGTCCTGACCCCACACTTTCTGTCTCATGACAAGGGCCAGCTGACCAAGGAGCTGCAGCAGCATGTAAAGTCAGTGGCAGCCCCATATAAGTACCCGAGGAAGCTAAGTGAGGGCAGATGGAAGGGGTCAGTTCCCAGTATTTCTGCCCATGTCTCCTAGGGTGGTTGTGCAGGGGGAAGCTTGGACACTCACAGGAGTGGCTATTTTTTCTGCATAAGAAGCAATTTGGCTTAGGGATGGGGTGTTCTCTTAAAATGTATTTAAACTGACAAATTAGAAAATGATCTATTAAAAGCAAGGAGACTTATAGATAAATCCTAATTCAGGCGATTACAACAAATATTTCTTTTTTTTTTTTTTTTTTTTTAAGAGTCCTCTTCGCCCAGGAGCCCGATCCACCCCCCCCCCCCCCCCCCCCCCCCCCCACCCCCCCCCCCCCTATTATTTTATAGTAAGGTCACTGTACAGATCCATCCCTAATCCCCCTCCCCAGGCTGATCACTAACCCCAACAAATATTTCTTAAGCACTTTCTATATGCTGGCAATTATAAGAGTGTTTAAGATAAATCTAGTGTAAATGCTGAACTCAGAGTGAGAGTAAGAAAATGACAAATACTTATAGGACAACACATGGGATATTACAAGCACAAGTAGTGTTCTGAAATAACACAAAGGAGGGCATAATTAACACTGCAAGAGTTAGGAGGAGGTTCAAAGAGGAGGGCCTAGTGAGTAGGGATTTTCAAGATGCAAAGGACTAGAGGCGATGATGTGGAAAGAGGAAGAACCTCTCAAAACAAGATAACAGGGCTGGGCATGGTGGCTCACACCTGTAATCCCAGCACTATGAGAGGCTGAGGCAGGACGATCACTTGAGCCCAGGAATTCGAGACCAGCCTGAGTAACACAGCGAGAACCCTATTTCTATTTAAATAAGTTTAATATATATATATAAAAAAAAAAGACAACAGAGTAAACAAGAAGCACTGAGGCATGAGGCAACATGACATGCAAAAGACAGTAAATTAGAACTAGTAACATAATTTCTAATGTCTCCAAATGATGAAAGTAGCATACAGCTCTTACAACTGACATAAGAAACTGCATTTAGTGACTTCAATCTTTGGTGGAAGTTCCTAGTGCGTGAAATGGAACAGATGAGAAAAGGCCTTGGTTCCTGTGCTGTGGGAATAGGGAACTGGTGAAGGGCTAAGTATCTGAGGATCTGTAATTCAGATAAATCACTCTGTTGGTAACCTGGAGGGTGAATTTGAGGAGAATGAGACTGGAGGCAGGAGCAAGGCAGTACCAGTGCAGGTGAAGAAAGAACATAGGTAGAACTTGGCCACCATTTAGAAAAGGTGAGAGGAGGAGCCGAAGAGAGGGAAACATGTGGGATCATGGCCAGGTTTCAGGCTGGAACAGGACAAATGGCAGAAGCATCCAATATTGAAAATAGAGTCAGAGAAGCCTTCTTGAGTGGAGGCGGGTAACAGGGCATTCTAGGACAGGATGTTTGAGATTTCTTGACTATCCAAGTGGAAAAGTCTTGGAAGCCTGAGGCCACACCAGAGCTCAGTGAGGGCAAGAAAATAGGGAGTGTGGAGTCATCAGCTTGCAGGTGACAGCCAAAGCCATTCTCCCACTTCAGGAGAGAAGCACATGAGCAAAGAGTTGGTGTCCTGGAGAACACCAACATCCCAAGTGAACTGAAAGAGGGAATTCAGAGGAGTGGCAGAGGGAAAATTAAATGGAAGAGTGTGCTGCAGAGATAGCACAGTGATGCAGGGCTTGATCTTTGGAGGGAGACTGCCTGAATGATGGTTTCCTTTTCTGTAAATGAGAGTAAAATTATCTACCCATGCATGGAAGAAAACCCTCAACAAACTAGAAACAGGAAGGAACTTCATCAACATGATGAAAAGCATCTGTGAAAACCTAGCAGTTAACAGATTTAATGGTGCAAGACTGAACGCTTTCCCCTAAGACTGGGAACAAGACAAGGATGGCCATGTTCAGTAGGTCTATTCAGCTTTGGTTCTGGCCAGGGTGATTAGGTGATTGATATATAAAAGGATCCAGATTAGAAAAGAAGACGTAAAACTGTCTTACTCCCACATGCGTGATGTTGTATACAGAAAATCCTAAGGCATCCAGTTTAAAAAAAAAAAAAAAAAAAAAACTAGAACTAGTTCAGCAAGTTCACAAAATCAGCATACAAAAATCAGTTGTATTTCTGTACACTAGGAATGAAAAATCCAAAAATGAAATTCAGAAAAGTATTCCATTACAATAGCATCCCAAAGAATAAAATACTCACTGTGGGAAGAAACTGAATTAGAACTAAATAAACGAAAGATATTCCATTTTCATGGATCGGAAGACTAAATATTATTGTCAGTACTCCTCAAATTAGTCTACAGGTTCAACCTGATTCCTATCAAAATCCCAGCTACTTTTTCTGCAGTAATTGGCAAGGGGATCCTAAAATTCATATGGAAATGCAAAGGACACAGAATAAGCAAAATAATCCTGAAAAAGAAGAACAAGGTTGGAGGACTTACCTTCCTAATTTCAAAACTTGCTACAAAGTAATCACGAGAGTATGATACTGGCTTAAGGACAGATGTATAGGTCACTGGAATATAGCAGAA